GAAAGCCATGGTACCGAGAGACCCCAGGGATCAAACATGGCTTGCACACAACGCATGCGTGAGCCCCAGCCCTAAGCCATTTCTTGAGACTCTCAAATAGAACTGTTTTTTAATTTTTTTTCCTCCCCAGATTTCCTTTCTGGGCCCCACCTGGTCCTTTGAGCTACGCTCCTAGCCCTATTTATTTGGGGGCGAGGGTGGGGTGGGGGCTAGGGCTTGAACCCCAGGTCTCATCCACAAAGCTGGCCTATACCCCGGATGTTTTTGCGACTTCTGTTTTGTTCTGGAGCTGCTCCTCGCTGGGGTGGGGGGGGGTGGGGGGGCGGGCTATCCCTGTGTGGTGCTGGGGAGTGATCCCTGGCTGGCTGCGTGTGCCCCGCCCGCTGCACTCTGGCTGCTTCTGTGTTTACAGGGAAGAAATGGGAGGCGGGTGCCAGGCTGGCTCTGGAGGGAAGAGGTCAGGCCCAGCCACATCCCCGAGGCTCTGCTGCCCCCAGCCATGAGCCCCTCTCTCGCATCCCAGCTCTCCGCGAGGGTCCGGCCCAGTTTTTGGCAGGCGGGACCCGGCGCGCTTTTCCAGGGCAGCTGAGGGACTTTAGCTGCCTCCTGGGTGCTTTGGAAACTCAACCCCCACCAGCTCGCTATGGTCCGAGCACCAGCTGGTGAGCTGTACACAATGGTAAGGGGTGTGGGAATGGGGGAGGCTTATGAATTAAAAATAGATGCTAGTAAGTGCCAGCGAGCTTCCAGCGAGGCTGTGGGGCTGTGTTTACTAGCGGGAGAAGAAAGCGTCTATTCATGCCGAGACCAGGGTGGAACTGCTGGGGCCTGCACCCCACCGCACGGAATCAGCTGACAACAGGGCTGGTGGGTGGCGGGAAGACCCCCTTTCTCAGGGCCCCCAACACAAGCGTCTCTCTGCTTGGGAGCCCCCAGAGCACACCCATTCCCAGAGGGGCAGTGACAGGTCAGGGAGGCTCTGCGTGGCTCGGTTGGCAGACAAAATCTCCCAGGCCACAGTGGGTAGGGCACTTGCCTTGCCTTGCGCGAGACTACGGACCCGGTTTAATCCCCCACATTCCATACGGTCCCCCAAGTCCTGCCAGGAGTAACTCCTGAGTGCAGAGCCCAGAGTAATATCTGAGCATTGCCAGGTGTGGCCCCCAGACACACACACACACACACACACACACACACACACACACACACACACACACACACACAGAGTAAGATCTGAGTAAAATCTGAGCACTGCCAGATGTGGCCCCCAAATCAACACACACACACACACACACACACACACACACACACAGAGTAAGATCTGAGTAAAATCTGAGCACTGCCAGATGTGGCCCCCAAATCAAGACACACACACACACACACACAAACACACACACACATACACACACACACAGAGTAAGATCTGAGCATTGCCAGGTGTGACCCCAAATCAAGACACACACACACACCTGTGAACACTTCGCGGCATGGCCTGAGGAACATGTGGGGACTGCAGTCCTTGGGGTGGGCTTGTGGATGCGCCGGGGGCTCTGGCTCTGCTCTGCCAGGAAGTACAAGGGGAGCCTCCCGTGCTCTGAGGCCTCTATCTGCTCCCCGGTGAGACAGAACTAGCGCTCCATCCCTGGATACTGCTCAGGTTAACCCTGCACCATGCAAGACAGAGCCTGGACAGCTGGGAGTCCAGCTGGGACGTGGGAGTCAGGGGACCTGCCACTCGGCCGGGTGCTCTGAGCCCAGTCAGCTGCCTGGTCTCTGCCGGAAGAGCCCCGCAAGTCCCCTACCTACTCCGCCAGCACACACCACCACCCCGCCCCTGTCTCCAGCAGGCCAGCTAGAAGCCAGCCGGACCTGCAGGACTTAGAGAGGCCACAATCCCCGCCACCGGCAGACAGCATGACAGACATGCCCGCTCGAGGGGACATTTCCGATTTGCTCTGGTTGGGGCCATGCCCAGTGCCCAGAGCCTACGCCAGCTCTGGGGGGTTGTCCTCAGGGGTCCCTCCCAGGGGTGCTCAGGGGACCACACAAAGCTGAGGGCAGAACCCTGCACACAAAGCCTGTGTTCCGCCCACTGTGCTCCCTCCCCGGCCCCTCGAATCTGCTGCCAGGGCTCCGTGCTCCCTCCTTCCGGCCTCAGTGCCACCGGCCTCCATTCCCCTCACAGCTGACACCCTCAGGCCTCCCTGCCAGACTCCTTCCGGTGGAATGGTGCTGGCCAGCCACTTGCAGACGGCTCACAGGTGCAGGCAGCCAGCAGGATTACTCCTGAGACTCCAGCTCCGATGCCCGCAGCCTCCTTGGCACGTCTACATGGTTTTCTAACAGCCAAAGGCGACATGTCCAAAACCCATTTCTGATCTCTGCCCCTATCCCCGCCCCCCCCCCCCCGCCCCGGAATTCCTGCCCCTGTGTCATCTTCCCCTGGCAGCTGAGGGTGACGGCTTGCCAGCTGCTGAGACAAAAGGCTGTGCCCTCCCGTTCCGCCATGGTCCACATCCACCAGAATCCTCCGCAGCAAATTCAGCATCCCATCCCATCCCCCACGGCTCAGCTCCCAGCCCCTCCCCTGCAGTCCTGGACTGCCCCCCACCCCTGCCCCACCTCCACACAGCCCGATTGTGGCTTGGCCCCCATCTGGCAGCCTGAGGGGCTTTTGAGAAGGCTGCACTTGTTAGAAGGCACCAAAACCTCTAACTCTGCATCTCCTGTTGGAAAAATCTACAACCCTTCCCTGACCTACTAGGCCCGTCCTTACAAAACCAGTCAACCAGGCAGGGCCAGTCCCCGGCCCCAGCACTACCTCCCCCAGACCCCACTGTCCCTTCTCCTCCCTGGAGCTGCCCAGGGCTGCCTGTCCTCCTGCGTCCTCCTTGCCCCCTGAGACTGCTCCTGCTGCAGTGATCAGAAACACCGGGGGCCTTCCACACCCGGAGCTTGTCACTCCTGCTGCCCAGGGCTCCTTCTCATCTTCACCGGGGTCTCCGTGCAGGGGCACTCTTCCCCGCTCTGTCCTTCACCTCTCACCTGTCCTTGGCCTCCAGCACACTCTGTGGGAGGGAGGGGGACCTGAGTGCACGTGTGGCCTGCAGCTTGGTGCTGACCCCAGAATACCAGGTCCAGCCCGGCTCCCGGGAGCCTGCGGGCCAGCCTTGAGCAGGACAGTCCCCAAGGCACGCCCGAAACTCAATTCTGCACTTCACTCCACAGGCACGCTCCTGGCCGTGGGCTTCCTCCACTCGAGACTGGCTGCCCACGAAGAGGCTGACCCCGGGTCCCAACACTCAGCCCTGGGGGGGCTGGAGTGATAGTACAGCGGGGAAAGCTCTCAGCCGACCTGCGCTCAACCCCCACATCCCACGTGGTTCCCCGAGCACTGCCAGGAGTGACTGCTGAGCACAGAGCCAGGAGTAACTCCCGAGCATCACCGGGTGTGGCTCCTCCCCTCAAAACCCTATGACTCAGCCCCTCCTCCCCTTTTTCCCCACCGTCAGCTCTCACCGCTTCTGACTCACATAGGCCTTTTGAATTTGTCTCCTGCATCCTCACTGCTACTGCCTAGACCCTCCAGTTTTCATCCTTGACTCTACAGCCACGCCATCACCTCCACTGAGACCCAGAGGCGCTTCTTCCCCTTCCAGTTTCCCGCCTATACCACTGAATCTTCCCGGTCCCCTGGGAGCTGCCTCTGCCGACCTGCCTGCCCCAACTGAACGCTCCATCCACCAGAGCATCAGTTGACTAGCTTTTGTGCACAGCTCCCTCGGCCTTCTGCCCTGGATAAGAGACTCCTTCAAGACTCTATTCAATGCCCCACACTCACTGGAGCTGCCACAGTCTCCATCCTTTCCCTGCTGACGGCAGACTCGGGGCAGAGAGAACCTTGGGGCTTGTTCCTTCTTAGAACAGGTATGAAGGATCCTTAATATCTGAATAAAGAACATGCTGAAACCCAGAACAGACCAAACACATTTGAGAATACTTGCCACCCGAATAAAGAACAAATACAGAAACACAGGAAGTGCCAAACAGGTGCTGGGGAATACTTGTCACCTGAATAAAGAATGAACACAAATACCAAGCCAGATCTTCCAACCGAACAAACCTTTCGGGATATCTCCCTTATCCTTTCTTGGTTGGTAATAACAACAAAAGCAATACTGTGGGCCGGGCAGATGGCTCAGAGGGCTGGGCACATGCTTTGCATCCAGGTGTCCTGGTTTGATCCCTGGCATCACGTGGTCCTCTGGGCACTGCTGATGGCATCCCTGAGCACCTAGGCAGGAAGAGCTTCCAAGCACCACTGGCTGTGGCTCCAAAGCCCCCAGAACCATACTGTGGTTCCCTCTTCACTCCAAATATTTGGCATATCTGAACTCATTTTCATCCTGAAGTACCTCTACTATCATGACTCCCATTTTTTGAAGGGAGAAGCTGGTTCACAGAGGTGGTCAGTAGCAAAACCAGTCTAGAGTGGGCTCTTTTCAATTTTTCTTTCTTTGCGAAGCGGGCCCACACCTGGTAGTGCCCAGGGCAGCCTCCAGGCTCTGTGCTCTGAGATGACTCCTGGTGGGCTGGGGGGCGGGGGGAGCCCATAGGGGATGCCGGAAGAATCAAACCTGGCTTGGCAACGTGTAAGGCAAGCGCCTGACCCGCTGTACTATTGCTCCAGCACCCTAGACTGGGCTCTGAACTCATTGCTTCCGCATAGGGTGTGGCAGGAAAACAACCCAAAATTAAACAGCCGAGTGAGCAAAACCCGACGGCGAAGCACGGGGGCCCAAACCAACAGGAACGAGATGCTTGGGGTCACCTCTGGCGTTGAGTCCACCTGACGCCTTGAAGCAGGCAGGCAGCTCTGGGGGGTGGTCTGTGTCCCGTCTCCCCCCCTCCCCCCCACACGCACCTTTCCCTCCCCTGCAGGTCTAGATGCCCCGTGCGCGCGCGGGGAAACCTCCCCTAGGCACAGGGCCCCGCCTCACCTTGTCACTGCCGCCCTCCGCCTCCTCGGCCAGGAGGCACACGGTGGCACCGTCGGCCAGCAGCAGGGCGGTGTCCGTGGTGGAGGAGGAGCGGGGGCGGCACTGGTGCTGGTGCAGGAGCGCGGCCAGGCCGCTGTCCTGGGGGCCCTTGCGCAGCAGGTGGGGGCTGCCGCGCTGCGGCTCCAGCGAGCTGCTCTTGGTGCGCCGGCTGCCGCCCCCGCCGCCGCCGCCCCCGCCGCCGTGCAGGCTGGCGCCCCGCTTGATGGAGGGCCGGGAGCGGATCTGCTGCAGCACGCGGTTGAAGGCGGTGGGCCGGGCGGGCAGGTCGTGCAGGGACACGGCGTAGGAGACGCGGTGCATCTCCGGGGAGCGCTCCTTCTCGTCCGGGGAGTCATGGTCCCAGGGGCCCGGGTGCGGCGGCGGGGGCGGCTGTGCGTCCTGCGCCGTCTGGTGCTCCCGCTCCCTGGACCTGCGGCGGCTGTGGAACAGGTGCTTCAGGCCGTGGCCAAACATGGAGCCCTCGGAGAGCTGCTGGATTTTCTGAAGGGGAGAGACAGGGGCCCTGGTGAGCGGGGAGGCGCTTGGGCACCCAGGGAGAGGACAGGGTTAGTCTGCGGGAGGCCAGCGCGGTGGGCGGTCATCTGACTCAGGAGGGTCCCTAGGAAAGACCAGACACACCTGCCAGGTCACCTCCTGCACCTGCAGGGCACCCTGACTCCTGGTCAGAGGGGCTGCCCACGGCACCAGGGCTGTGGCTGGACCGGGGCTGCTCCTAGCCTTGGATTCTGGGCTGATCCTCCCCAGTGCCAGAGTCTCCCTCCTCCTAAATTAGGCCCTCCTACAAGCTAGACGGTCTGGGTGGGCAGGGGGGCGGCCAGGCAGTGTGTGTGTGTGTGTGGGGGGGCCCATCCCTGTGCTTGGAGATGCCCTGTGGTGTTAGGATCAACCTAGTGTCTTGGGCATGTGCCAGGAGCCCTAGCTAGCTCCCAGGTCTCTGCACGGGCTCGACCTGACCATCACACGTCCATTTTCTGGAGCTGGCCCCTGGCCACAGCCCTGGGGTCTCTGTGGTGTGGTGACAGGTGCTGCTCACTGTGGCCCCTGGGTCGACTTCCCTTGCCCTTCGACCAGCCAATTGGCATGGCCTTTAAGAAACTGCCGTGGGGCTGGAGCGATAGCACAGCAGGTACGACATTTGCCTTGCACAAGGCCGACCTGGGTTCAATTCCCAGCATCCCATATGGTCCCCTGAGCACCGCCAGGACTAATTCCTGAGTGCAGAGCTAAGGAGTAACCCCTGTGCATTGCCGGGTGTGACCCAAAAAGGAAAAAAAAGTGTCCCCACAAATTGCCTACTATGGAGGCAGGGTAAGGACTGGGATGGGGGTAGCGGGGGCATACTGGGGACACAGTGGGAAGTGTGCAGTGGTGGAGGGATGGGTGTTTGATCATTGTACAGCTGAAATCTCAAACACGAAAGCTTTGTAACTGTATCTCACAGCAATTCAATTAAAAAAGGGGGGGTAATGTGAAATTCATGCCCAATTCAATCAGCTTAATCAATGACTGAATAAACAGCAGTACTCCTACATTAAAATAAAAAAGTCTCCGCAGCCTGGAGAAGCTGCCAGGCTGGGCATGGCTCTGCCCCTGCCCTGCAGGCAGAGGTCATTCCTGGTGTCAGTGGGAGGGGCTCTCGCTCCTGATCTGGCTGTGACTGCAGCTTCTGGCTGGACTGGCTGGCGAAGGAGGCCCCGCTCTGAGAACAGAAGCTGTGGGTGCTCGGGACCCTCCCGGGGTCACCCTGCACACCTCATCGCAGGTCCTCTGCCTCCCGCGGCATGCTCTGTTCCAAAAACAGGTGCGCGTGAGACAAACCGCCTGTCGGGAGGTCACATCCATACACACAACAGGACCAGCAAGCCGAGCGCATCCTTTCCTTCCCCTCAGACTGGAGTGGGTCAGAGGCTCTGGACTGCCCTGCTACCCCGGGTTGCCTGGGAAGGGATGCTTCGAGGCAGCGGTCACCCCAAGGCCCAGTGCTGAGGACGGCTGCTGCTTTTCAGGAGGCTAAGCCCCGCTTCAGAGCCAGGTGGGGAAGGTCTAGGATCCTGAGAATCTACACTCCCTAATTCCAGGAGGAGACTCGAGCCAAGTATTGGGGCCCGTGGTAGCTTGTCATCCTATTTTTTTTGGAGGGTAGCGGTCTCCCAAGTAATGCTCAGGAGGCCTCTGGGATCACACCTGGTGGTGTTGGGGGTCTCCAGAGCTGCACCGCAGGGCACCAAGTGGTGCCAGAAATCCTACCAGGGTCAGCTGCTTACAATGCATGCACCTTAACCCCTGCGCCACCTCTCTGGGCCCCAGCCTGACATTCAAACAGAAATTCCAAAAGAAGTGCATGTACTGAGGATGAGGAGATAGCCCAAAGGGCAGGATGCATGCTCTGCATGCCAGAGCCCTAGGTTCGATCCACACCAAGCAAGGACCTGTTCCTGAGCACCACCAGGTGTGGCCCAAAAGCTGGTGGGAAAATGAGCATGTATCAGATGGTCTTCTGGTTTTGTTTTGTGGACCCTATCCAGCTGAGTACAGGGGCTACTCCTTGCCCGGTACTTATTTATTTTCTTTTTTTAAATTTTTGCTTTTGGGTCACACCCAGCAATGCACAGGGGTTACTCCTGTACTCAGGAATTACTCCTGGTGGTGCTCAGGGGACCATATGGGATGCTGGGAATTGAACCCGGGTGGGCCGTGTGCAAGGCAAATGCCCTACCTGCTGTGCTATCATGCTAACCCATTGCCCGGTACTTATGGGACATGCAGCGTTGGGGGCAGAACCCAGGACTCCCACAGTGCCTGTGCTCCATGCCTTTGTGGCATGTAGAGCTGAAAACGGAGATCAAGCAGAAACCAAGGATGAACCACCCTCACCCCAGGGAGACTTGCTACTCAGAACAGGCGGTCCCCAACTTATTTCACTTACTAGCTTCTTTTCAGGGAAAAAAATAATCACTCATGCACCCCGCCCCCCTCAACCCATTTTTTTTTTTTTGCTTTTTGGGTCACACCCGGCAATGCACAGGGGCTACTCCTGACTCTGCACTCAGGAATTACCCCTGGCGGTGCTCAGGGACCATATGTGATGCTGGGAATCGAACCTGGGTCGGCCGTATGCAAGGCAAACGCCCTACCCACTGTGTTATTGCTCCAGTCCCTTGTTTTGAATTTTTTAATGAAACTCTGTGAGATACAATTACAGACTTACACACTTTCGTGATTACGTTTCAGTCATACAATGGTCAAGTATCCATCCCTCCACCAGTGACCATTCTCCACCACCAATGTTCCCAGTATCCCTCCCCCACTCTTTGTCCCACCCACCCCCCAACCCCGCCCTCGGTGGCAGGCACATTCCCTTTTACTCTCTCTCCTTTTGGGTGTTATGGTTTGCAATATAGGTATTAAGTGGCCATTGTGTTTGGTCTAAAGTCTACTTTCAGTACGCATCTCCCGTCCCGAGCGAGCCCTCCAAGCATCCTTTGCTTGATGTTCTCTTCTCTATCTCATCTGCCTTTTCCCCCGACATGTGAGGCTGGCTTCCAAGCCATGGAGAAATTCTCCTGGTCCTTATCTCTACTATCCTTGGGTGTTGGTCTCCCATTCTGTTGCTTTATATACCACAAATGAGTGCCGTCCTTCTATGTCTGTCCCTCTCTTTCTGACTCATTTCACCTAGCATGATACTCTCCATGTTGATCCACTTCTATGTAAATTTCATGACTTCATCTTTTCTAACAGCCGAATAGTATTCCATTGTGTAGATGTACCAAAGTTTCTTTAACCAGTCATCTGTTCTCAGGCAGTCGGGTTTTTCCAGATTCTGGCTACTGTAAATAGTGGTGCAATGAACATACAAATGCAGATGTCATTTCTACTATACATTTTTTTTTGCATCTCCGGGATATATTCCCAGAAGAACCCATGTTCTTTAAGCCAACAAAGTGCCCGCGAGTGGCTCCCAAGGCTCTTACTGTGCCCCTGGATCTTTCCAGAGTCCCAATCCGCTCCGTGGGTGGCATCGCACACTTTGGGGAGCGAAAGTATAGATGCCGCCTGTGCCACTGGGTGTCAGTCACCATCACACTGTGTGTTTGGACAGACACTCAGGGTTTTCACTTTTCACCTCATCGGCGTCTCCCCACAATGTTCACAGTGAGCAGGGTCCTCTCTGCAGGTTGGATAAGGCCCCTTACACCAGTTCACTGCACACCTGATACTTTTCAGGTGCGTGATCTCACCCGAGTTGCTTAGACACTAGCAAAAGTGGCAGCAGCCACATTTCCAATTTTAGATGCAGAAATTCACCATCCCCTTGAGAACCTCATTCTGGGGCAGCCCTGGAGTCATGAGACCAGCAGGTCCCCCTGGGAGCAAGCCGCTCCTGGAGCCAGCCAGAGGCCATGGGAGGCCCGGCCTGGGTGGGCTCAGTGAGTGGGGAGTAATCTGCCACAGACCCGTGGGCTCCTGCCAGGGATGGACTAGCACACTGCTCTCCTCAGCCCTGGCCCCGGGCTCCACCGAGGGGGCCAGCAGGCTCTGGCATCTGCCCAGCTGCTTCTGCCAAATGGTCCCATTACACAGTACATATCATCTTCCCGGGCTGTTGGTGTGGCCAAACAACAGCCAATCATCTTTCACAGCATTCGACTCCTTCCTCCTCTCTACACCTGCCTAACAGCAGTGCCCCACTTCTAGGACCCCTCAGGCAAAGGGACCTGGCCTCTCCTCTGTCCCCAGGAAACAGATGAGGGGCTGGGATGGTCCTGCACCGAGCGGTAACTCCCATGCTCGGCCCTACAGCCTTAGACCCCCAAATCCTCAGGTGCTTTATTTATTGGGTTTTTTTTGAGGGGGGGCGGGGGGTGGACCACACCCGGCAGTGCTCACGACTTACTCCTGGCTCTGCGCTAAGGGATCACTCCTGGCGGGCTCAGAGAAAATGGATGAGGTACCGGGGATCAAACCTGGGTAAGCTGCACGAGAGGCAAGTGCCTCATGTGCTGTACTATCTCGAGCTCACACATTGGCACTTTTGGAAGTGCTTGCCAGTTCAGGCTGTGGCTGTCGCCTGGCGCAGGCCTATGCAGGCATGGTCTTAGGCAGCAGACCCTGTAGGCAGGGTCCAGCCCAGGTTGGTCAGTGTCACCTTCATGCTGGTGAAGAAACCGACCCAACATGGTCAGGTGGCTTGCACAAGGCACACAGGTGACCCTCCCCCCTCAACTTTCAGTCCAGTAGTTCACCTTTTCTGGACCACACAACGGTCCCAACACTGAAGCAGACCATCCCACGGTTGCCAGAATGGGATCAGGACAGGATCTAAACAAAACTGGAGGGGTTGGAGCGATAGTATGGCGGGTAGGGCATTTGCTTGCCTTGCACGTGACAGACCCGGGTTCGATTCCCCGCATCCCATATGGTTCCCTGAGCACCACCGGGAATAATGCCTGAGTGCATGAGCCAAGAGTAACCCTTGT